AATTCCCGACAAAAATTCCCAACCCCCCTGACCCATCGCGGCGCCTCCCCCCGCGGGCTCGGGCTCCGTTTCTTTTTTGGGGTCAAACCCCGGAATTTCGGGGTTTTATTTTTTTTTTCCCCCCCCCGGAATTTTTTTTTTTCCGGGAATTCCGGGAATTCCGGGAATTCTGGGGCGATTTGGGGCTCCCCCACCTGCGTGTTCCCGCTCAGCTTCTGGAAGATGTCGTAGATCTGGTCCTTGAAGCCGCGGCTCAGCATCTCGTCCGCCTCGTCCAGCACGAACATCTTGATGAACTTCGGGGCTAAAAGCGGCAATTCCGGCTGAAAACCGGCAATCCCGGCAAAATCCCGGCAAAATCCCGGGAATTCCAGCTAAAAACCGGGAATCCCGGCAAAATCCCGGCAAAATCCCGGCAATTCCGGCAAAATCCCGGCAATTCCGCCTGAAAACCGGGAATTCCGGCAAAATCCCGGCAATTCCGGCAAAATCCCGGCAATTCCAGCTGAAAACCGGGAATTCCGGCAAAATCCCGGCAATTCCGGCAAAATCCCGGCAATTCCGGCAAAATCCCGGCAATTCCGCCTGAAAACCGGGAATCCCGGCAAAATCCCGGGAATTCCGGCTGAAAACCGGGAATTCCGCCAAAATCCCGGCAAAATCCCGGCAATTCCGGGCTAAAAACCGGGAATTCCAGCTAAAAACCGGGAATCCCCACCAAAATCCCGGGAATCCCGGCAAAATCCCGGCAAAATCCCAGGAATTCCGGCCAAAATCCCGGCAATTCTGGCTAAAAACCGGGAATTCTGGGCTAAAAACCGGGAATTCCGGGCAAAATCCCGGCAATTCGGGGCTAAAATCCGGGAATTCCGGCAAAACCCCGGCAATTCCGGGCAAAATCCCAGGAATTCCCCCCAAAATCCCGGGATTTCGGGCAAATTCCCTGGAATTTGGGCAAAATCCCAGTAATTCGGGCAAAATCCCAGGAATTCCGGGCTAAAAACCGGGAATTCCGGCAAAATCCTGGGAGTTCCGGGGGGAATTCCGGGGGTTTTGGGGGGAAAATGGGGATTTTTGGGGAGGATTCCGGAGGATTTTGGGGATTTCTGAGGGTCCTGAGAAGGAATTTTGGGAATTCCCAAGGGATTTTGGGGATTTTTGGGGTTTCCAGGGTGGATTTTTGAGAATTTTGGGGTTTTTTGGGATTCCCAGGTGAATTTTTGGGGTTTTTTGGGGTTTCCAGGGTGGATTTTTGAGGATTTTGGGGTTTTTTGGGGATTTTTGGGGTTTCCAGGG